GGGGTAGGTAGTTAAAATTAGTACACCTTGGGAGTGTACCCAGGGGACACAATCCAATTAATTAAGCATGTGGCCACCAATATTAATTTCGCGTGATGGAGAAATAAAGAAAACAGAACAATACTTGTTATAATAATATGTATTATGTATTTATTATACATAGTTATATTTTAAAAAGTTGTCTTTTATAACTATACTTCATTATGAAAAAAAAATGAATCTCATTCGTCTTTCTCCTCTCGTTTCTTCCCCTCCCTCACTACAACATATATGGAGGAGTTGGTTGGACAATAGCTCTTCCATACAATAAAACCAAAGTGCTTATAATCTTGAACCACATAAACTTACCAAAACATTCACTTATTAACATTAACACAAGTATAACAACATTAACATAGCCAGTGAAATTTTACAAAATAGAGTCTGAGAAAGATAGATTGTACGCAAACTTTATCAGTATCTCGTAAATGTAGAAAGACACAAAGTATAACTAATTTGAGAAACAAATACATGACCAGATTATAAAAGACTAACCCACATGACATAAAGATACGTCTACCACACTACCATCAGGGAGCCCCACATAATCCAATATCTTGTTCATTACAAATAGTGCAAGATCCAACAAATTAAATCCCTATCATTTTTCAATTGCCACCCAACAATATAAGTTTTTTTTTTTTCAAAAATAAATTAAAAGATTGAATTTAAACAGGGCAGTTTAATTGTGGTATTATGTCATCGATTAGCCATTTTGTTAACCAACTGTATGCCTTTTGTGTTAAATGAAGTCCATCCCAACTTATGTAAATATTCGGGTCTGCACACGCTTCGACTCCTGGATCACCACATTTCATATCTTCTCTATAATTGTAGTCTCCGCCTATTCCACAACATGGTTTCAGTACAAAATTTTTGTCGAATCCTGAAAATTTATTTTAATAAAAAGAGTTAGTAAATTGCATGATTTTCTTCACTTTATCTAATCGTCCGTTGAGCCATTAAAATATGTTCGGCCATGTGGTTGGCCCAACCCAACTTGTATATGAAAGAGAGATTTTAGCACTTACCAAGAGCAACAACATTTTGTCGAAGCCAGAGATATGCACTGTAGTAGTCACCGTAAATGATTGAAATGTTTGGATACTCTCTCTTCAACATGTGAATTCCTCGTTTCAAATAATTGTTGTAATACATTATAAAATTGTTCCACTCTTTCACGCAACCATACTCATCGTAGGTAGTTGATGGTCTGGTACCAAATATCGTCAGGATAACCGGGTTACAACCCGCTGGAATATTACCTGGAACTACAATTCGAGTAGCTCCAAAACTTATGACTCTCTGAAAAAAAGTCATAGTTAGTAAACAAATTTCAAGAGATCAAAACATAACAACGATATATATATACTTACTCTAACACCACGAATGATGGCATGAACAATATCAGGCACCATTCTTCGCAACTCTTCCATAGTTTTACCTTGATTTAAGCCATAAGTGAGTTCATCTCCTCCTATTTCTCCAACTAGGAAAAGTGAATTTTCCAAATATTTTGGACAATCTATCAACAAAATTAAGTAGAAAAAACATCAATGTAAATAATTAATAGCTTATTATATACTATAATATAATTCCTTACCCGTAGAGCAAACTGAATTGAAATGAGAAGACATCCATTGAAGTTGCACACTTAATGTACTATTTGTGTATGACATATGAATTTTCTTCTTTGCTAAGGATTCGACTGATAAAGCAGTAGCCCCTGATACAGCGAAATTCGCACCATGACTAAAATCTGCATTTTCTTCTAACGACGGATTTAGGAGAGGAAGACCACATTCCAGCGCTGTATATTATATTATCAGAGACATAATTAGTTGTGGATTCAACGTACGTAAATATATATATATATACGTACCAATGAAATCAATCATGAGCAATCCATTAGAACAACGCCCCGTTACTGCTTTCTGGTAAAAATTCATTCCATATGGAGGGAATCTACACCCAGAATGAGCTCTACAATACGTCTCTCTCAGGCAGTTTCCGGTATCCGAAAGTGAATCACCAAACTGATAAATTCTATTAATTCCACACTTTTTCATTTTTCCTTCTTCAAGCTTTATTAATAATTTTTCTGCGTCACCTTGAAGAAGCAACAAACTCATTATTATTATTATTATCAAGAGATGAAGCACTACTACAACTCTAATTGTGAATGCCATGATCCAACCTGAATTCTTACGATTAGTAGAATATTTGTGGTTGGTTATATAGAGTACAAGTGTCAAATGCTACGGTTCGGTCGGTTATTTTTAAAAAATTATACCATCTCAATTTTTTGGGTATTATATAATATATAACCAAAATTAGATTTTTTAAAATCATTCCAATCATATCGGTTGGTTAATTTTCAATTTTTTTTTACTTTTTAAATTTCACCTCAAAATATAGTACTATTAAAATATTTCTTTCGCAAATATGTTCTTGAAGAAACACTTTAATTCTTCACCAAGAAGACAAGAATGTAAAACTTTATTGTCGTATTGTTTGATCTTAAATATTTAATTGGAGTGTTTGTATAGGGTTTGTTGTATTGTTTGATAGAGTATCTATTACAGTGTCTTTTAATTTTAAACTAATTAAGTAAAAACTAATTAAAGAGAAAAGTCTCAAAGTCGTCTAGTCACCACTGACCTAGGTTATATTTATAGTTGAAAAAATGTTATAAAACATATTTATTTATTAAATTTAACATATTGTTAATTTACAAAATATATTTACATACGGTTATTCGGTTCGGTTCGGAATTTTTTCAATTTTTTTCATAAATTAAAATAATCATCACAATTGTTCGGGACGATTATACACTTGGATAAAAGTTTACGATTTTATTGAAAAAACAATATAAATCAATTAGATTCAATGGATTTTTTATATTCTTGACACCCTCAATAGAGAGGAGGATAAGAATGGCAGGACCACGTACATGACATTAAAAAAAAAATTCTCAGCTAAATATAGCAAGTCGATCGGACAACAATCGTTACCTTTTGTGTACCTCAGAAAATGATTCATGCATCAGTAATTTATTCTGCTTATTTAAGTGAGACGTACTTGTTGAGAACTAGCTAATTTAATGCCAGTATACCATAAGACCTATTATCTTTCAATTTGTATATCCTAGTAATGTAAAATAATTATTTTACTTACATGACTACATTAGTACAAAAAAGTGGAAGTTGTAATATGAAAAAGAGATAAAAGGGTAAAAAAAAAAACACATTTAAATCATTCATTTTTTTAGTTTCATACCTAAACTATTAAAATTATAAGTTTCATATCTAAATTATCACTTATTAGATTGAGAGCCCTCGATAAGAAAATTTGTAACTCGTCCATGGTTTTACCTTGCTTTAAACCATAAATGAAGTCATCTCCAAGTTTGAAATATGACTTTACCAAATATTTTGGGCAATCTAGTAACTGGAGTTAATAATAATAATATTAATAATAATAATAATTATTATTATTATTAATTATTATTATTATTATTAATATTATTATTATTATTATTAATATTATTATTATTATTATTGTTGTTTTTTTTTAATTATTATTCTTATTAATGTTATTATTTTTTATGTTATTGTTATTGTTATTGTTATTGTTATTGTTATTGTTATTGTTATTGTTATTGTTATTTTTATTATTATTATTGTTGTTGTTGATTGAACCACACAAATTAACTAAACCATGTTAAATGTTTGTATGTATTTGGGCTAACCCATCGGTGGCCCCCTAAACTTGGCACAATCTTTCACTTAGACATCTCAACTGAAGGATTTTCCTTTTAAACACATCATGTTGCGTTTCGTTGTGTCATTTTGACACTTTTTGCTGACTAAGCATAGTACGTGTGCTACACGAATTTTGAGCGCGTCAGTGACTTTTTTTGTAAATATTCTGAATTTTTTTGTAAATATTTTCTTCTCCTTCTTGTTCCTTGCTTTCTCCCTTCCATCTTCTCCACCTTCTACCATCCTCCATCACCACACAACTTTTTTAAAAAATTCTACAATATTTTACTAGGTTACACTCTTTGATTCTTCCATCTTCTTTGAAAATCGAATTTGCATCTTGATTCATATTAAAAAACAAAATCGATTTCGAGGGAACAAAAAAAGAAATCAACTTCTTTCAAATGAAAAAAATTGATTTACATTCTTACCTTCTCCATTGAAAATTAAATTGATTTCAAGGAATAAAAAAGAAATAAAGAACAACCTCCAATGAAAAAAAAAAGAAATTTATTTTACATATCCTTCATTGTAAATCCCAATCGTAGTAGCACAAGAAATCATCTTCTTTTAAATGTCATATAAAAACTTTTCGATTTGGTATGATTTCCCTTATTCTCCAAAACGTATTTTACTTTGTAAACTAACCTATGTTCTTGCCTTTTTGATGGAGAAGAACAGATGAAGGGGAAGGAGGCGCAAGAAGAAGAAGAAAAGAGGTGGGGGCATGGGGTTTGGGATCTGGAAGAAAGAAAAAAAGAAAGTAAAATTGAGATTTTTAAAAATAAAATAAAATTTCCACGTGTCACATATCAATTTGTTTATTTTTCCACATAAGTGGCGTCTGGATGTACGCTCTTAAAATGCGGTTTTGAAAATATAAAAAGTGTCAAAATGACACAATGAGGTTTGACATGAGGTGCTTAAAATGAACAAAGTCTAGTTAAAGTGTCCAAGTGAAAGTTGGTGTCAAGTTTAGGGGGCCACCGATGGGTTAGCCCTATGTATTTTGATATGTTTCTCCTTGGTCTTCTTGCATGACTTGTTAAATGTTTGTATCTATTTTGATATGTTTCTCCTTAGTTTTCTTACATGACACTTGATTACAAGAAAACGTATTCCTAAAAAGGAATGAAATTAATTAATGCTGTTGTTGTCTCGTACATACATGACCCATACAAACAAAAGAGAGATTAAAAGCCGCAATTGGTTTTTCTTTTCTTTTCTAGACGCAAAAATATTCTCAAATAAAGAAAAAGATTTAAAAAATAATAATACTCTACTTGTTTGATATTGTAAAAAAATAAATTACGTAACTTAAACGAGCAATTGATTTTTCTCTTCTTTCCTTGCCGCAAAAATATTTTAAAAAAAGAAAAAGACAAAAGTATAATACTCTTCTTGTTTGAGATTGTTAATTTTTTTTTGGGAAAAGGGTAAAAAATGTCCTTAAATTATGTAAAAGGAATAAAAATGTCTTTTGTTTATAGTTTGGCTCAAAAATACTCTTACCGTCAATACTTTGGTTCACATGCCCTTGCAGTCAATACTTTGATCCAAAAATGCCCCTATAGTTACAAGATGGGTCAAAAATGCCCTTTTCCGAATAAATATATTATTTTTTTTCTTTTTAAACACATCTTATTCCTAATTAAAATATTATTAAAAAACACTATTCTAGTTTTATTTCTTCTAAAATCACTTTAACAAATAAAAATGTAGGAATTTTTTTTTTCTTCTTAATCTCATTTTATCAATTAAAATAGAATAACATCATGTACCCTTTTGACAGATAATATATGTCATATATATATAAGATCTAGTATATCCATCATAATTTATATTTATATAACGATAAAAAAATAATGATAATAAAAGAAGAAATATTTTCATTTTTTATTTTTTTCTGAATTGAAGTAAGATAAACATTTGCTAATTTAAAAAACATTATTAGAAAAAGAATGTGTTAAAAGATGGAAAATGAGCATTTTTGACCCATTAAATAACGCTAAGGGCATTTTTGGACCAAAGTATTGACGGCAAGGACATTTTTGGAGCAAACTACAAACGGAGGGCATTTTTGTTCCTTTCGCATAGTTTAAGGGCGTTTTTGAACTAAAATATTGACGATAAGTGTATTTTTGAGCCAAACTATAAACGGAGAACATTTTTGTTCGTTTCACATAGTCTAAGGGCATATTTGACCATTTTCCCATTTTTTTAATAAACTAGAAGCACCCAATTGCCTTTTCTTTTTAAGTGGTGTGTATTTATATGCTATCAACTAATAAAATTATCCACGCCTCACACGAGAATTTAATATCACGGAATTTAACCTTCTGCTAGTCCAAGATCATTAACTAAGATCAGAAGATTCAACTGAAGAAGAGGAAGCTAGAAAGGAGAACTTGTTTATGGAAGAAGACTCTTGAATTGTCTTTGTTTTGGATTTGAGTTGGGTTATCTACAAATTCCTAATGCCACCTCTATTTATACTTATATAGTGATGCTTCTAGAAATTATTCTAGATAGTTCTACAAAAATAATCTAGATATCCTTATCTTCTAACTATGTAACAAAGACCTATATATTTCTATACTTTACTATAAATATCTAATTATCTAGAACCTCTAGATTTTTCTTAAGTATAAATATCAAAGATATTTACTCTACAAAATTCTTAAAAATTCTACTAAATATCTAAGATATTTTTTATACCTCCAACAAATCAACTTTAATTTTTCACACGTCAGTGATTTTACCTTGCTTAAATCCATAAATGATGTCATCACCTCCTATTTCTCCAACTAGGAAAAGTGAATTTTCCAAATATTTTGGGCAATCTATCAAGCAAGAATTGTAGAAAAATATCAATATAAATATTCTACAAGCTTAGAGACTAATTAAACTACACCAATTAATGAATTCCTTACCAGGAGAGCAAATGGATTTGTAATGAGAAAACATCCATTGAAGTTGCACACTTAATGTACTATTTGTGTATGACATGAATTTTCTTCTTTGCTAAGGATTCGATTGATAAAGCAGTAGCCCCTGATACAGCGAAATTCTCACCATGACTAAAATTTGCATTTTCTTCCATGGACGGATTAAGAATAGGAAGACCACATTCCAGCGCTGTATATTAATTATGAGACATAAATTAAACACAAAAATGCATAACAAGAAATTTCTCAATCTTAATCATATCACAAAAATATATGTATACTCTTATAGCATTATTGACTAATAAGTAATTTCTGAATAAGAAACCTTAATGATATTAATACAGTAGATGTATATGCTGATTTAGTATATATCAGTTAAGCAAAATTATCAACCTTAATGATACCAATACCATATATATAGTGTAATTATCAATTAAGCGAAATTATTCACATTCAGTTTATTAGGTCTATTTGTTT